CTGTAACTGTTGTCTGTGTGGTGCGTTCAGGTGTTTCTGTAACTGTTTTCTGTGTGGTGCATTCAGGCAATGCTCTTAACACTTCTCCCCCCTCGGTGTGGTGCGTTCAGGTGCGTGTGGCAGCGCTGCAGAACCTGGTGAAGATCATGTCTCTGTATTACCAGTACATGGAGACGTACATGGGCCCGGCTCTCTTCGCGGTAAGAAACTGGTTCTGAATTCAAACTGGCTGTAGGTCCTGGTGGGTTCAGGCTCTGACCCAAGAACCCTCATCTACAGAACCTTCCTGTTTGGGTCGGACTGTGATGAAGACAGCTGTCAGGTGTTAACGTGTTTGTGTCTCAGATCACCATCGAGGCGATGAAGAGCGACATCGATGAGGTGGCTCTGCAGGGCATCGAGTTCTGGTCCAACGTCTGCGACGAGGAAATGGACCTGGCCATCGAGGCCTCAGAGGTGCGTTTGAGGTTTTAAGGTGTTTGGTGCAAGTGGTGAGGCGTTCGCTGACTGTCCGTATCTTCCTGTTTCAGGCCTCGGAGCAGGGACGGCCCCCTGAACACACCAGTAAATTCTATGCCAAAGGAGCGCTACAGTACCTGGTCCCAATCCTGACCCAGACCCTGACCAAGCAGGTGCTGTCCTGGTGAACTCTGACCTGTGCAGGTGTTGTGTAGCGGTGTGTGTGTGACTGTGTGTGTGTGTGTGTGTGTACAGGATGAGAACGACGATGATGACGACTGGAACCCCTGTAAGGCTGCAGGCGTGTGTCTGATGCTGCTGGCCACGTGCTGTGAGGACGACGTGGTTCCTCACGTTCTGCCTTTCATCAAGGAGAACATCAAACACCCTGACTGGCGCTACCGCGACGCCTCCGTCATGGCCTTCGGCTCCATCCTGGAGGGCCCGGACCTGAACCAGCTCAAACCGCTCGTCATCCAGGTGACGCTCGGCTCCGGAGGTTTCCTTTGGTCTGTTAGAACTGGGTCTGACCCCTCCCTCCCCCGCAGGCCATGCCCACCCTGATCGAGCTGATGAAGGACCCCAGCGTGGTGGTGAGGGACACCACGGCCTGGACTGTGGGCCGGATCTGCGAGCTGCTGCCTGAGGCCGCCATTAACGAGGTCTACCTGGCCCCCTTGCTGCAGTGTCTGATTGAGGGCCTGGGGGCCGAGCCCCGGGTGGCCTCCAACGTGTGCTGGGTGAGTTGTGGCCACTGAAGGAGGGGACGTTTCGATTTGGTGCAGAACGTTTACACCCCAGCAGGTCCAGCTTCAACGTCTGGATCCTTCAGACTCTGGTCTTGTGGACCTGGTTCAGGGTGCAGCTCACAGGTCTGTCCTCCTTCAGGCCTTCTCGTCCCTGGCCGAGGCGGCGTACGAAGCCACGGACACCGCTGAGGACCTGGAGGGGCCCAGCACCTACTGCCTGTCCTCGTCCTTCGAAATCATCGTCCAGAAGCTCCTGGAGACCACGGACAGGTGAGGTGGAGCCTGCTCTGTGATCACTTCCTGTTTCCTGCTGCGTGAAGGTCAGATGTTGGACTCAGGTGCGTGTCTCTTGTCCCTCAGGCCTGATGGACACCAGAACAACCTGCGGTCCGCTGCCTACGAGGCTCTCATGGAGATTGTGAAGAACAGCGCCAAGGACTGCTACCCTGCAGTCCAGAAAACCACTCTAGTCATCATGGAGAGGCTGCAGCAGGTCCTGCAGATGGAGGTGCAGACGCTCAATTCAGTCATGCTGGTTTTATTTTGACGAGGTGTCTTCCTGTGTAACATGGTGACTTCCTGTCTGCAGTCTCACATCCAGAGCACGTCGGACAGGATCCAGTTCAACGACCTGCAGTCGCTGCTGTGTGCCACTCTGCAGGTGAGCAGACACACCTTTACTCTGAGGCAGTCAAGCTCTTATTGTGACGGTCTACTGAGCATTTCCTGTTCTACTGCAGAACGTTCTCCGGAAGGTTCAGCACCAGGACGCCCTGCAGATCTCTGACGTGGTGATGGCGTCGCTGCTGAGGATGTTCCAGAGCACCGCCGGCTCCGGCAGCGTCCAGGAGGATGCCCTAATGGCCGTGTCCACGCTGGTCGAAGGTACAAACATGCCACCATCTTTTACCACTCTTGACTGAGCCCGCCTCCTCCGGTTCTGACCCAGTCGCTCGTTTCAGTTCTGGGCGGAGACTTCCAGAAATACATGGACGCCTTCAAGCCATTCCTGGGCATCGGACTGAAGAACTACGCCGAGTATCAGGTGGGCCCGCGAACCGTCCAGATGGGAAACAGCAGGTGGTTGGAATGTGTTGTTTATTTGTTGTTTGTGTCAGGTGTGCCTGGCGGCTGTGGGTCTGGTATGCGACCTGTGCCGGGCGCTGCAGTCCAACATGCTGCCGTACTGTGACGAGATCATGCAGCTGCTGCTGGAGAACCTGGGGGTGAGGAAGACCTCTCTCCTTCATCCCCCACTGTTTGTTGTTGTTTATTGGTTCAGGTTGACTCGACTTGTTTGAACCCGTCCTATGTCCTCGTGCACAGAACGAGAACGTGCACCGCTCTGTGAAGCCTCAGATCCTGTCCGTGTTCGGGGACATCGCTCTGGCCATCGGAGGAGAGTTCAAGAAGTACCTGGACATCGTCCTGGACACCTTGCAGCAGGCCTCGCAGGCGCAGGTGGACAAGGTGAGCCTGGGGAGTCCCACTTGGCCCGCTCTTTGGTTTCCTGCCTGTGGCTGACGTGCGCTGTTCTTTCAGACGGACTACGACATGGTGGACTACCTGAACGAGCTGAGGGAGGGCTGCCTGGAGGCCTACACCGGGATCATCCAGGGCTTGAAGGGGGACCAGGAGAACGTCCACCGTAAGACAAACTGAACACTTCCTGTTTACAAGCAGAACCCGGCTCCACCCGCTTGTGGGCGGAGTTTATACGTTAGATGTTGGGTTCCTGACGTGACGTCGGTTCCCCCTCCTGCCTGAAGTCCAGCAGGAGGATTTTACGACGTCGTAGAGAGTTTGGGGTCTTTTCACCCAGAAAGCTTCAGGCTGCCGCCAAAACAAAAACAGCTTCCTGGTTTTGTGGGACCCAACAAGCAAACAAACAAACGAAGCGTAGCCTCCTCGCCTCACATGTGTCTCCTCCCTGCAGCGGACGTCATGCTGGTCCAGCCTCGCGTGGAGTTCATCCTGTCCTTCATCCAACACATCGCCGAGGACGAGGACCGCTACGATGGTGTGGTGGCCAACGCCGCCGGCCTCATTGGGTGAGGAGGGGTTGTTTATGTTTGCTGTTTTTATTTATCTCAAAACACGAAGAGCTAAGTTCTGCTCCCAGCCGGTCTGAGGTGACCAGAACCTTAAAACAGGAAGTAGAATGTTGTTGAGTTATTGGTTTCCTGTTCACGGTGGCGTTTAAAACTTGGTTCTGGAAGCAGTTTATTGTGCGGGCCAGGTTACAAGGTTCTGCTGCTCAGTCACCATGCTTCATCAGGGGGTGGAGCTAAACCCTGACTGGAGGTCTGTCGGTCAATGAGGAGACATCATGCACCACGCTGAGCCGTGATGGACAACCAGACCATGGATTCTGAGACTGACGTCCACCTGCAGGTCCAACGGGCCCGTTGGTGGTTCTATGCGTTAATGTGCGTGTTGTGTGTCCACAGTGACTTGTGCGCAGCGTTCGGCAAAGACGTGATGAAGCTGGTGGACGCGCATCCACTCATCAACGACCTTCTGACAGAGGGCCGGCGGTCCAAGACCTCCAAGACCAAGATGTTGGCCACCTGGGCCACCAAGGAGCTGCGCAAGCTCAAGAGCCAAGCCTGGTGAGGTCACAGAGACACGCATACACAAAGTCCTTCAGCTGAGCAGCTGAGCTGCAGTCTTTGTTGTGGTCCAGGCTGAGAGGTTCTGGTACCACAGATGCCCCTTTTCTATTAGTACTGGTACATCTCAACTCGGCACGGTTCCAAGGCTTTTCCATTAGTAACAGTACATAGAACCAGTCCCTTTTTTCAGAACCATTGGCTCTGTGGTTCCAACGAGGCCAAGCCAGCGCCAAAATGTGACGTCAGAACACTGTCGGTCACTGATTGGTCGGGGCGAAGTCAATGGATCTTTTCAGAACTTTTCAAAACACCGATCCACCGGAACTCGGAGCAGCGACTGGACCTATTTTAAAGATTTTAAAACCGATAATGACAACACCGTGGTCTAATGCCAACTCAGGGCTCGAGATCCTGGCCTTGCAGGCTCTGAGCTTCACTGGTCGGTGGATCATACGAGCTGCTGACTCGCAGAAGGCCATGACCCTGGCCATGCGTGCACATGAAGGCCGAACCTCGATCCCGGCAGACTGGTCTGGCGCACGGAGAGTGGGACGATTTTTAAAAACATTTAATGTAATCTATTTTTTTTTTTTTTTTTTTTTTTTTTTTTTTTTTTAATCATTGAAGATTTAAAAAAAAAAACTGCAGCTTTATCATGAAATCCTGTTTTAACTTTAATGACCATTAAATAATCTGTTAAAGTTAACTCAGCTGAAAATTTATAAAGACACAAAATTATTGGATTTCTCAAAAATATTTCCCTTAAACATGTTTAAAGAAGAGATACAGCCTTTAGTTCCAACTTTATTCTAACCTACTGGTTTATGCTGGTGAAGATTCTCAGTCATCCAGGACATGATAAACTCAAAAACGTTCAGTACAAAAACAACTGGACTTTATTTGTAACAGAAGGCGTTTGATCATTTTAATAGTCTGTATTCTTTTTTAATTTACCAGAAACTTCAAAATAAATCCTGACCCTGTACTGAAACCTTTTTCAGGGTCTTACCACCAACATTACCGCCACCAGCTGGTGAAGCCCGTGACGTCAATTTGAACCAGCCCACTGGAACCGATACTGAAAGCATAATGGAAACGCATCGTGTACCGTACCGAGCCAAGTAGAACCATGCTGTACTGGTACTAAAGGTACTAATGGAAAAGGGCAAGAGTTACATTACCATGGTAACAGAGGATGACCTCATCACCTGCCTCAGAGCTCAGAAAAAAGGAGGGCTCTGTTTGTTTGTTTACAGATGGGGCTGGCAGCGCTGTGAGCTCCTGGACTGAACTTTGTTTGTTTATTTGTTTTAGGGATGCACCGATCCACTTTTATTTTTTTGATACCGACATCTAAGGTTTAGTATCGGCCAATACCGATCTGGTACAGATGCTTGATTAAGTTGGTAGTGTTATAGCTGGAAGTTTTAGTGCCATCCCTTGGAACCGTCGCTGTGCACCTTTTGCACGTAGCTGTTGAATGTGTTTGCTGAGGTAGAGTGAAATTTTGCCAGCTGGCTGATCTTTTTGCTCGCACCATTTTGAAAACAATCTATGCGGTGAGTTTGCTAGCGCGTGACGTCACTCAAAGCACAAAGCATAGAATTAGAGCGAATAGATCTGCCCAGTCATGAATCGGTCACATTGTCACAGATACCCAATTCAGAAGTTCCCCCCGATATCGATACCGATATTGGTATCGGATCAGTGCATCTCTAGTTTGTTTACAGATGGGGCCGGCAGCTCTGTGAGCTCCTGGACTGAA